TTTTAAATAATTTTATAAGCATAGTATTTTAAAGTTAAATTTTGTGGAATAAAAGGCCCTTTAATCTTGGTTTAAAAGTATTTAAACACTTTTGCCAATAGTTTTGTCCAGTATTAACAGGTAACACATTTTGAAAGATGAGAATTCCAGTTAGAAAACAAATGCCTACATGTTACAGGACTTAGAGTTGTAGTATATTTTTATCTGACTACTGTATGTTTGTCTAGCTAATAGCAGGAGAAAGTGTAAATACTTTTAACTGCCTAATTGCTTCATTTGTATAAAACCTCCTCTCTTCCTATGATACTGACCTCTGTTTGTGCATAGTTTTTCAACTCTTGTTGGGATGTCTTTTCGCTGTGTTTTGTAGGAGTTGGAAGCAGCGTTTTTATAGCTGTTAAAATGTTAATGTATTGAGTATACTTAATCACTTTTTTAAACAAGTTTAGTTCTGTTCTTGCAAAACTCATTGTGCCAATTTACTGCAATGTGACTTTATGGTATGCTTTTGGTATAATAAGTATACTAGAAAGAAACCTGGTGTTTCCACTGAACCTGTTGATGCACACTGGTTGGAAAACACTGTCTTGAACAATTTACGAAATTAAAGAATTTAAACTGATAAACTGGTAAGAGACTGGTTCTTAATACTAACTTGTTGTTCCTGTGAATGTTTTAGTCTATACAAGTGTCTGGTTTTAGTACTATTTTGATTTTACTGCCTCGGCATTAACTTGGAGTTTTATAACTTGACAGAAACACTGGTAAAGTATTTTAAGAAAAATTCCTGAAGGCATGAGAGGGAATGAAATGGGTACAAGCTACTCTGAAAATTCTTTCTTGAAACACATCCTTTGCCTAACATCAGAACTAGGAACAACTTGTATGCGACTGGATTTCTCACCAGCCAGGTGATAAATTAGAGCTTAATAGTCCTAAGAATCTTGGTTGGGGGCGGGGGGGAGGAATATCAGGGAAGGTGACGGTGTTCCAGGTGTACGTATCACCTTGTATTGTGTCACCTGCAGGGCAGCAACAGAAAAACATGATTACAGCCTGCAGTATGGAGGCCAGTACTTCTGAAGCTTTAGCTCACACCATTCAACAAGGAAGAGTTTTTAGTACTGCAGTACGGCCAAAACAGCGTGGTATCAAATACTGAAAAGTCCAATCATTTCTTGTTTATGTCCCTTGTAAATTGCTGCCACGGCTTCCTCAGTCAGCCCACCTGTTTGTTTTTTTGCTGTTCTTTCATTCTTACCTAGGGTAGTATGGAGAAAAGGGATTTCTGCTCATGTATAAAACAAGGCATACAGCTTTTTCCCCATTTCAAGTTCAGCAACTTGGTACAGCGTTTACTTTCGTTTGCAGTTCTGCTCTTACAGTAGTGCTAAGCAGCTAGGTATTCAGTAACAGGAAAAAGCAACTTCAACACTCAATACATCACGACCAGGTGAAGGTCTAGTAACTTCAGCACTGCTTTCAAACTTCCCTGTTTTCCAGAATCTGAAAGTGACAGATTTATCGTGGGTAATGCTTTTTTTTTTTGTCACTGAGATCATGCACTACTATGCAGTGACTCCTTATTCTCCATCTCCTAATTCTGAAGAGATCGAAATTTTTTTCCCTAGTGCTGCCTTTTTGCTGCCCTTTTTTTTTCCACCTCCTTCTTCCTAACAGACTAGAATAGTAAACTACATAATAGTTTTAGGATCATAGCCCTAATCTCCCCTTCTCTTCTTACTTGGTTTAAGTAAAAAGAAAAAAATCCTCACTAGCGACGAGAGGCACAGAAAAAAGCATGAATAGCTTGAAATCAGAACTCTCGTACCTGATACTTATTGCAGAAGCAGTATTATGTTTATTGTGTTCAAAACTGCTACCTAGTCATCTTCGCTAGTTTGCACTAGTTACTAATTTTTTTTAACGTAACTGCCAGAATCCATCAGAGTGAATGGCTTTTCCCCTTTCTAAATACGCCACTCCTTCAGAGACCCTGTGTGCAATGTGTAGTCACTACACATAAGCTGCTGCTAACGCCTCATTGAAGTAGTTTGATCAACTTTTAACGGTCTGTTTACATACTGGTACATCTAGATGATGTTAAGTCATTCTATAGGGTGACCTTAACCAGAACCCATTACGTTTATTTTTGCTCTCAAGCATCTGTAAACTAGCGGTAGTGTTAAGATGAGGCAGGATTATAGGTTTGGTAATGTAGAAAAGCAAACAGAAGAATATTTCAACATTCAACAACACTGTTCACCAGCAGCTGAATTTATGGAGCCTGTTTTGCCGCATTTGTATGGCAGACTTCATCATACTAGAACATGCTGCATGCTTTCTAAAGACTTCTTCACTACCCTGAGTACTTTTAAGTTAAGTTTTACAGATGCAAGGATATTTTTTATCATTCCTTATTACTCTGCTATCATTTATGTCAATGGATAGAAGCACATGCACATGTATGCATCTGTACCGAACTTAACAAGAACATGATTTGTGCATATTTACAAAATCCTACTATTTCCACTCTGCCTTCCTGCCCGAGGTTGCAAGCAGCCTAAAACTCTCTAGTCTCTCTTCACAGCTCTATTAATCAGAGGGAGAAAGAGATGTGAAGAGTGCCTGGGGGAAAGCCTCCATGTTGCTGCTCAGAGAAGTGCTCATAAATGACATTTTGCAGAAAACACAGTGGCACTCAGTTACGGTAGCACTTTGTAGTAACATGCTGGCTGGGGAAATTAAAGTATCAAGCTGCAGGCATAAATACTGAAGCCGGTATTTACAAAGCGGAATCCACTTACGTGGTAACTGGAAGTTAAAACTTGGCATGGAAAGAAGTTTTAGTCCGCAGCAATACAGTTAAGATTTTGAATACAGCAATCTCCTCACACACAAATGTAAAAACATGCAAGTAGTTGCAAAACTAAACGCTAAAATTGCTTGCAAAGCTTTTCATGTGCCTAATGAGTATGTGTTTGTGTAATGAAATGGAAGGTGTCTATGTACCAAAACGGAATAGCTTTCAGATCTTGAAGACAGTACCTCAGGTTAAAGCTGGAAGATCAATAGCTATGGCAGCTCCCAGGATGAAATTGTCCTCGGCAGATGGTCATGATGTTTGGCCTCCACAGATCTTGAGTTTCAGCAATCATCTCTAGCGTTTCACAACAGACTGCTGTTAAGGGGAGAGACTAACATGGCCACACAGCTAGATCATCAGACAGCAGCATTCTCATTCAGCTTCCAAATACAGGTAGTTACTGCACACTGGAATTTGCATATTTCTACATATGGCTAGTCACGAGATGTATTTTATTGCCTTAGGAAACTAAAACAACTTCCACTTTCACCCTCAAAAGTGTTCCTGTAAAGATGTTAACTCAAACGGGAATCTTCACATAGGCACTTCTGATTTTGACCATTCCTTTGTATCAAAACCCCTTTTACCAAAAAAAGAGGTACTGTGTATTCCACAAGCATGCCAAATCCACCTTGTTTTCACACAAGCGTTGATGAGCTAACACACGTCTGTCTTTCACAACTGTTTCAGAGATAATGGGTCAACCATGCCACTACTTCAAAGGGTTAATTGAGATGGATGCAGAGGTGAAGCTCCTGACTTGTATGCTGCAATTCACTGAAGTCATGCTCTATCCATTCAGCTTCATGGGCTTTTACTGCCTGAATTTACTGCCCATTTACAAACCAGAAGTTACCTAAATTCACAGAATCTCACTGACTGTAGAAATGGTCATCTCACCTTCCAAGATGCCTGAGTGTCCATGAGCTGTGTCTCTTGAAAGATACCAATATAATTTCTGAGAGCTGAGAACTGACTAGGCAGTCAAACTTCTTCAGTCTCCCAAGGAATAAGGCTGATTCTTTTTGCAAAAAGGAAACAAACCACAGTTAATGCGCAAAATTTAAAGCAGAGTTAGCTCTGACAGTAGCATCCTTACTTCCAGAGTCAAGTTTACTACAGCTTAAAATAATGTGCAGCCCCGTGGAGTTGCTCATCATTCAACTGCACAGGGGGGTATTGTGATAATGTTACAAGTTGCACAGCTAGCAGTGGAAAGTGACGCTATCTATATGAATTACATTTTGCTTTGGAACTTTACACCAACGGTAAAATCAGAGGGGTCTCTCCTCTTTCTCAACACAAGAAACAGCATTCTGTATCGCCGTCTTGCCAGCAAGGCAAAAACTTTCATCAGGGAGAGAATCTCCAAGACGTTTTGAAAGTTCGAAATAAGTTACAAAGGCTCATACTGCCAAATCACTAAGCATTTAAAAAAGATCAAAGCAAAAAGCCATCCACAGATTCAGGTTAATATTTTTTAGATTCAACAGATTCAACTACAGTTTTTAATACTCTGGCCTTTTTGCTTCCCCCGGTAAGTACAGACACAAGTCTTTGCATGTGTCCTGGTTTTGGCAGGGATAGAGTTAATTTCCTTCCTAGTAGCTGGTGCAGTGCTGTGTTTTGGATTCAGGAGGAGAACAATGTTGGTAACACACCGATGTTTCAGTTGTTGCTAAGTCGTGCTTACACTAGTCAAGGGCTTTTCAGCTTTCCATGCTCTACCGGGGGGGCCGCTGCTCGGGGACTGGCTGGGCATCGGTCGGCAGGTGGTGAGGAATTGCACTGTGCATCACTTGCTTTGTATATTCTATCATCATCATCATCATTATTATTATTACTATTTTCCCTTCCTTTCTGTCCTATTAAACTGCCTTTATCTCAACCCACGAATTTTACTTTTCTTTTTCTCATTCTCTCCCCATCCCACTGCGGGGGAGGAGTGAGCGAACAGCTGTGTGGTGTTTAGCTGCCTGCCAGGTTAAACCACAACAACATGTCAGGAGGCAGGGCCCTTAAATTTTCATTTAAATATAACTCAAATCATCTCCAAGTTCCATACCCTTATATCCAGTTTATTATAACACAGGATTTATAAGAAAAAATTGCTGATTGTCTTGCTTTAAAAAAAAAAAAAAAAAGGAAAAAGAAAGACATAAATACCAAACAAACAGACAAGGGATTATTAAAAAAATTATTTTCTCATTTTTCATCATGAAATGATAAACCTACTTGGAATTTTTGATCACCGAAACACTAACAGCATTTAACAAGTAGCCAAAACACAAATATCCAGCTGGTGTCATAGAAATTTAACTACGAATGGGCAGCTGGGTGCAATGCTGGATTTCGCTCAGAGGACTCATTCAGAAAGACACATTAAATCAAGACAGCTGTCTTGTGACAGCTCCTGGGAAGTACAGCGTCTTTAAAAACTATGATTCAGTGTGACCTTTTTGTTTGATTTGTCATTTAAGTTGAAACGTTCAATATGAAATAGGACCAGAACACACAAACAGCAGCTTCTAATACAAGTTCTTCTCTGTTTTGTAGTGAAGCACAGGATGCACTCAACTCCCACACCCAGACTGTGGCCAGCTTCTCTTTGCCTTACTGGAAGTCTGGGACTGGCCCTAGCAAAATTTCTTAACCTGCAAGGGCAGCAATTTTGAAATATACTTGACCACAACATTTTACTGGCAAGAAGGTAAATGGGTTGGGTGAAAGATAGCATACCGAGGCAGAATTAGTTTAATGAAAGAATAAATTCACATTTTGGCCACTCCCTTCTCCCTACTGCTGAAGAAAGAAAAAAAACCAAACCCACACACAAAAAACCTACTGATTGCCACCTTAGAATTCAGCATAAGAAGCCATCAAACAAGTAAACAATATCTTTAAAAATTATGCCAGCTGTCTACATGATCTCAGTTCCAATACTGAAGAGGACTGGGAAGTGCACGTTGCCAGCTGAAAGAGGAGGAGATTGGGCAAAGATGCAGCGTAGCAACTTCCGAGGCAAATATGGAAGTTGCAACCAGAGTTGCACTGCGGGGGATCTTTAAAGCAGCTGTTACAGCACCACAAAGCAGTCCAGCCTTGGCAGTTTAACTGGTGACAGCTGTGGCGGGCAGGGCACTCCCTCTTCTGCAGATTCCTGAAGGATAAGAGAACTACCACCTCCTGCTGTTACAAGAGCTTGGTTCACTGCTCTGTTTTCAAAACACACAGGCCAACAGCTGGCTGACTTACAAGACGAAAAAAAAAAAAAATCACCTTTTTTTTGTCCTAAAAAAAGCACAGGTTTATATTCACAAGACCTAATACACCACCGGAAAGCAGTCAGATACGTGAGTGATGAATGGAGTCCTGCAAACACTTAAGACACTTTTGTTTCAAGACATCTAAGATAATCAAGTAAGCACTTGCAGAATCTGTGGCCACAGGACTTGAATAGAATTCAATTTGTCAAATACATTTCTGTATGCAGGTTATCAGAGTCGGCTGTCTTTCACACTGACCAGAACTAGGCATTTTTTGAGAACTAGCTGAAGCTTTCAAAAGAAAAGCAGTTAGTGCTACTAGCTTTCCTAAACAGCAAAGTCCTCCACTAAAATCCTCTGAATTCCAGATGACTTTAAAAAGCAAAGCACTAGATAAGTATATTCTGTTTTGGCAAGCAGCGTTTCAACTTAACATCAGACTAGCGAGTACAAACTGGTCACATTTTAATAAAAACCAACAATACTTAAAATAAAAGAATGATACTAAAAGAAGAAATGCACAACGAACACAACTTTAGGAACCATTAAAACTACATGCACTGTAAACAGTTAACAAAGTCACTTGAAAGGTAGGCTACAATTCAGTAATCGGTGAAATGTAGTTTACTCTTCACAGAATCAATCCTCAGAGTCAGAACACAAGGACAGCAGTAGTTCACAGACGCAAGCACCTCCCTGTTTGCAGGAAAGACCTTAGAAGTTAACAAGCACTCTGAGCTTCTCTCTCAGAAAGCATTCTCCTCCCCGCAAATTCCGTGCTATCCACCCTTGTTCAGCGATGACAACTGCCACGGTTTTCAAGGTAGAATGCCCGAAGACCATGTTCTCATCCTTTGAGGTTAACAGAGCCTGGGATGCACAGAACATCTCAAATCACAGCTGCTCTTGCAAGGTATACTCTCTTTAAACATCCATATTCTTAGAGTCCATAGTCTCCAAACTACTGTATTGTTGTCAAAGTGTATTAAAAATGTAACTGATTAAAATGTAGATGTCTGAGCATATTTTTCCATGATAAGTTATCTTTTAAATTCATACTTCCTTACTCAGAAAAGTACACCAGAAAGACTTCAAGCGCAAAGGGCTCCTTCCACCTCAGGGAAGAAGATTAAAAGCCTAACCCAAAACCCAGCAATACACTCAAAACTCAAGCTGTTTGGTGGTTTTAACAGCCAGAACAACAGATTCACCAATGTAGTTCACTGAATTCATGCTGGCTCATGTCAGTTTCAGTTGAAAATCCCAGGATCGACATAAGGATATGCAAGAAACTCCCCCAGTTTATTGCCTTCCACATCGTAATGGAGCATCCGAAAACAAACATCACAGAAGAAACAAGGATCCTCTGGTGCCAGACTGTCTTTGTTGGTTACCCACCTGCAGGTTACAAAATACAAGCGTTTTCCATGTGAGTCCAACACATTTGTGACAAACACCTCAACATTTTACTCAGAGTTGGGGATGGCAGCAACATAGTAATAACATTATACTGACCAGGTACTACCTATACTGCATATCTCCCACCCCAGGCATACAGCTCTTTTCCAAACTCCACACCCATCCAGTGTCAATCCCAGCTGCTATCTTACACTGCTACAGCAGCACTTCCTGAGGAACTCCTCAAACCTGTGTAGCTGGTACAGTGCATAATAAAAAAAAAAAAAAAAAATTAACAGGAATCTTCTGTCCACCCTATGGCCTGGCCATTTAAGTCATAAAAGATAAATGTTTTCCCTTAAGGTAAGAAACTGTGATACAGAGCAGACATATGACTGACCCAAACTACTCCGAGTAATAACCAAATCAATTTACAAGACTAAAAGAAGGGCCTGGATGATGCAGACAAGACAAGGAGAGGATTGCTACACACTTCAGCAAGCACTGAAGTTAACATGAACACAGCTGCCAGCACAAGGAGGGCCTGCTGTGTCACCAAGCAATTAATTTATGGTAGCACTCAGAGGCCGTGACAGCTCAAGGCCTCTAGTGATTAAAGATGCTATCTGCACAGATTAGAACATGCAGGACAGCCAGCCAAAGCAGCTCTGCTATCCATGGTTTACCATCTCCCCACTTAAGCTTAGTGCTTAATCCTGGTTTTAATTTAATGCATTTACATCATCTCTGGTAATGTCCTCGCCATCCCACCTTTCCCCTACATTGACCCTTTGGCTCCACCTCCCCTTATGGCCCAATGCCTCACAGATTATAGCCACTTGTGAAGGCATCCTAAGGGCTCTGCTAGGAACACTAGGATGGGCTGCCATCACGAGGGGAATTGGCTCTTTGCCTGATTCCAGGGAAGTCTAAGGCCAAACAAGCAAGATAACAAGGACACAGCTGCTGTGTCAAACTGAGGCTGAGAGTGTAAGCTGCCCTGGGGGGAAAAAAAAAAAAGGCAGTGGGTGATTTTATAAATAAATCATTCAGACCTATAAAATCAGGAAGCCTAGCCTAGCCTAGCCTGTAGAACTCCTTTAGAGGACTTAGAATCATAGAATCACAGAATCATTGAGGTTGGAAAAGACCTCTAAGATCATCGAGTCCAACCGTCAACCCAACACCACCATGCCCACTAAACCATGTCCCTAAGCGCCTCATCTACACGTCTTTTAAATACCTCCAGGGATGGGGACTCCACCACTTCCCTGGGCAGCCTGTTCCAATGTTTCACCACTCTTTCAGTAAAGAAATTTTTCCTTACATCCAATCTAAACCTCCCCTGCCGCAACTTGAGGCCATTTCCTCTCGTCCCATCACTGGTTACTTCGGAGAAGAGACCGACACCCACCTCACTACAACCTCCTTTCAGGCAGTTGTAGAGAGCGATGAGGTCTCCCCTCAGCCTCCTTTTCTCCAGGCTAAACAGTCCCAGTTCCCTCAGCCGCTCCTCATAAGACTTGTTCTCCAGACCCCTCACCAGCCTCGTTGCCCTTCTCTGGACACGCTCCAGCACCTCAACGTCCTTCTTGTAGTGAGGGGCCCAAAACTGAACACAGTATTCGAGGGGCGGCCTCACCAGGGCCGAGTACAGGGGCACGATCACTTCCCTACTCCTGCTGGCCACACTATTTCTGATACAGGCCAGGATGCCATTGGCCTTCTTTGCCGCCTGGGCACACTGCTGGCTCATGTTCAGCCGGCTGTCAACCAACACCCCCAGGTCCTTCTCTGCGGGGCAGCTTCCCAGCCACTCTTCCCCAAGCCTGTAGCGCTTTCGACTTTCTACTGTGTCTATTGAAAGGCTTTCTCATGTCTAAGTAAACAGCACTAAAGTGTATGAAGAGCACTGAATTCACATTCTGATCTCTTAACTGCAGAAAATCTGTGCATCACAAGAAGTTCCTTCAAGTACAGCTGTACAGCACAGAGTTTTCAGGTAGAGGTTAGGAGTTTACCTGTGGGGAAAGCTACATGTCTTTTAAAAATCTCTACATTTCACTATATTAAAGTTGGACAGATCCATACTTCCCTCTACTGAGATGCTCGATTTAATGAAAGCTCTGTACGACTTCTGGCAAATGAATTTGAATCACATGTCTTGTCATAAGGGAAAAACGCAGCATTTTCCCCAAAAAATAAGATTTTCAAAAGTAATTGACAAAGAGCTGAGCTCTATGTATGCAAAAGAACCTGAGCCAAATAATTAACCTCTTCATCATTTCAGTTCTTTTGATCATTCTGAATCATCATCTTCAAATGAACACTACCTGCAGGAGGCCTTTTGCTGGACAGGGAGAGGACAACTGCCTGAAGAGTAAGATCTCAGAATACGTGCATGAAGATTATTCACACACCTTATCAAATACATACAGAGCTTTGATTTTTTTTTTTTAAGTTAGTAGCAGCACCTAGAAAGACTTCTTTAAGAAGACAACTTAAAAGGATTGAGAATGTAGCGTACCTGGCTGTATACATTTTGCACACAAAGCATTTTCTGGTACATAACCAGTGTTTCTTGATTAGTAAGGGATAGAGGTTCCTGTCCAGGCAGTCATCATGATGAATGAGCCTCGAGGGAAATAAATAAATACATTAAATACAATAAAGACTCACATTGGAATTTATTGGAACATAAGCATGCACATTGAAGATAAAGCAAATCCTGCGTAAACTATGACTAGACTTCTGCTTAGCATTTGTTAACATAGATGAAGACTTGGAGATAGGCTGCTAGTTGCACCATCCGTGGATTTTATGGTCAGGAGTAAATTCAGTTTGTGTAGTAACTCAGCAGTCTTCAGACCATCTACTTTAGATGGCCTTTTCAAAGCTTTTATCTCCTACATAGACTAACAGGCAAAGACATCACCAGGTGAATGTTTAGAGGCTCATAATCCTGAGATCATCTACTTGCAACATCTATGCCCTTCTTTGGGTGCCTCTTGGGAGGCACCATTTATTAACAATGCTTAGGTACATCAGGCTTCTGGGAACTGAAATCAGACAATCAGAGGAGTGCTCTCTCTACCCATTAAGCACTGAGCAGAGTATACACAATAGTTCCACTGTTGATGTGGTTCTCACCTCACAGCCACTATCACCACCTCCTTCTCTCCCTTGCCTATCCACCTCAGCCCGCTATTTCCACTCCTCTGTTCCCTTTTCAGTTCCTGCCCCTTAGCACCAAGTCTACGCTAACGAGTCCAGTTGACTTCAGCCAGAGCCATTAACAGCATTCTGCTCCCTGGTGCTCCAGAACCAGTATGTAAATCTGCCACACATTGGCTCTGCATAGAAAGGGCTTTTCACTGTGGGTGCTATTCCTCCCATACCACAGTCATGCCATGCTCGTTAGAAAGCAGTCTTTTTATGCAGACAAATTATTGATAAAAAAAAATATGCAAGGGAGATTACTTTCTTCCTTGCAGAGGTAGTCACAGGTATACGGAATAAAATCTTAAATAAGCCCTGCAGAAGGCAGCAGAATAATCTTAAAGTTAGTCTAACAAATACTCAGCATTTAATGTCTGAAGTTTGTCCACAGAAGGCTTGCTTTCAACTGCCTAAGAACTCCCAAAGAGCAGTAACTTACCTTATATCTGTGATGATAATGATGTGCTCACAGTTCCCTTGGTGGCAGAAAAGGTATGGAAAGCCAATTTTGAGGGACAAATCATTAAATGTGTAGTCCTCCATTTTAACAGACTGAAGATTTCCATAGCCTCTGTCATGAGATTCTGACCACTCAATGATTGTTCTGAAAACAGAAAGGTCAACAGCATAGCAATGCTATGAACTGTGAATGCACAGAAAGGGAAGGCCTTGGGGGACATGCAAAACTCTTCACTGGGACACAGTTAAAAAGATGAGAATCAAAATAGCTCACAACACTTTGTAATAATTTAAGGTAATTTCACAGCAGTACCACAACCCCACAGAACTGTGCGCTGTTCTTGTGGAACACCTGCCTTTAAATCCCCACCAGGCAGCTTCCCAAGGAGTTCTAGTCAGCGTGTATGCTCCTGATGGCACCCATCCAGCTCAGGTTGTTTGCAGCATGACACTTCTCAAGCATTCCAATAATTCAAGTTACCAGCAGGTCATTTTTGCTCCCTTGGTCAATAACTTTGTTTTAAAGTATTAAAAAGCTTTTTCTGTTTTTGCCAAGGAGAAACACAAAGCTGACAACTGCACTGTTACATTTCCAAAATTTAGCACTGGAAGGGCACTGGCCACTGTTGCGATTATTTCTTGGTTTTTCAGCACACTCCCACATACAAGGCATTTCACTTCTACAAGCCGGGTACGTTATCACAAGCCCTTCCATGAAGATCATTGTTGCTCATGGACAGAAAGAGAAGGAGCAAAATAATTAATTTCTCTGAAGTCACACACCAAGTCTAGCATAACAAGAACAGAGTCCAAACTCACAGCTCTTCCATAGCATCCATTTTAACATCTTCATCTCCTAAATCTCGCTAGTGTGTCAGCAAGCCCATACTTCCTTAAAATAAACTACTATGTATAGTTTAAATGGATATGACTTATGCTCAACCAGTGTGAGCTATAGTTCCAGAGACATCTGAGACTTTTGGCAATGCCATCTCAGATTTCTTTTCCCAAGAGTCACACAGTCCCCTTGTTGACTGTACCATGAAGGCATTCAGCGTATTTCCAAGACTGAGCAGAACAACCATCTTCCATACAGCTGAGCTTGTTGTCTTTCTGACCCATCTTCTACCTCACAGGCAAATATTTTGGTGGTCATCGTAGCTAGCGAGGGCACTTAAAAAGCCAGTACAGACCAGCACCTGGCACCTTCCACAGGAATCCCATCCCAACAGAGCAAAACAGGATTTGCAGGGGAAAAAATGCATTCATCCCCTTTACACAAGGGAAGTGAGTGGAAGGAGTAAGTAGAGCAAGTAAAGTTAAACTTCTATGTAAAAATCAATTCAACTTGAAAAGATAGTAAGAAAAGTCCATTCTAGCTTCATACACGAGACGTTCCAGTCTTAAAAACACCACAAATCATAAACAAAATGACATAAATTTTCTGTCCCGTAAGGTTTTCCTTAGTGAACGTCTACAAATACTGTACCTGCTCAGATCTCTGCACTCTGGGTATCTTTTATCATTATAAAAGATGCCTTCAAAATAAAAGAAAGCAGATTTGTAGAGATCCTGAGAGAGAGAGAAAGAAAGAAAGAGAAGTAAGTCTGCATTAGTGTTATCAGAGATTAAACACCTTAAACAAGAACATGTCAAAAACCAAGACTTTAGGTATGTAAATTATATTAAGACCTCATTCTACAGGTTTCTAAGAAAAGCTGTGCACTGGTTTTAGATGCTGATGTGACAATAAGGCTTATATGATTGCCAGCTATGCAGTTGCTCTGCTGGTATTATCTCAAGCCATTACAGGTTATTTTAGTGGTCTTCTCTTATTACTATCCCCATCATAGCAGTTACAGATTTCTTCAAAAACACAGAACAAGAACACAAGCATCACTGCACAAATTGCACAAATTAAGTAACTGCACAACACTGACTTAAAAAAAGACTAATAATATTTAAAAAAATTAGCAAGATGTAGTGGGTTGACCTTGGCTGGCTGCCAGACCCTCCACCCAGTTGCTCTCTAACTCCCCCTCCTCAACAGGACAGGGGAAAGAAAGTAAGAGGGGCAAGCTCGTGGGTTGAGATAAAGGCAGTTTAATGAGAAAAGCAAAGGCCACACACAGAAGCAAAGCAAAAAGAGGAGATTTATTCTCTACGTCCCATCAGCAGGCCATGTCCAACCACCAACTGGGAAGCACGGCTTCAGCATGCATAGTGGTTGCTTTGGAAGACAAATGCCTTAACCATGAATGGCCCCCGCTCCTCCTTACCTCCAGCTCTTAACTGCTGAGCACAACGACATATGGCATGGAATATCCCTTTGGTCAGTTGGGGTCAGCTGTCAGAGCTACGCCCCCTCCCAGTCTCTTGCCCACCCCCAGCCCACTGGACTTGAAGGGACCTGGAGAGACAGCCTTGAGGCTGTGCAAGCACTGCTCAGCAATAGCCAAAACACTGGTGTGTTATCAACCCTGCTTAGCCAAAAATGCAAAGCACCGCATTACATAGGCTGCTATAAGGGAAGTTAATTCCATCCCAGCCAGACCCAGTACACCTGATCAGGACAGACCACCCCACAAAATACTTTTTGCTGGAATGAGAGAATCATTGCAGTTCTGTCCCCTGCACGTGCGCGTGCGCACACACCCCAGCCACATGGGAGCAGTTCCTGGTCACATCTATATAAACAAGACAGACATGCAATTTTGGAAGGTCCAACCACCTCACTTCTGGGGGCTCAGAAGAAAATCTAACAGCCTTCAAAAATCCCCCTTAATTATGAAGTTTGTCACATGCAGAAGGCCATTTGTACCAGTCTTCTCTATCAAAGATAATTAACAATTTATGGCACTCATACCAGCAGTGCAAGAGTCATCAGATTCCAAAACATCTCAAGAAATTGAGCTAACCCATGAGCCTCCCTTACACATGTAATAAATTCTGCAGCGGGACTACAGAACTATTTAGGTAAAATCACATCCATCCATAAAAAAGCAGACTCAAGCTGCAAGCATCTCCTTGAGAAGGAACAAAATAAATAACAACAGGAAAACATCTTGTTGAAATAGCACAATCAAGTATCCTTCTGTTTATCTAACCAGACTGCTTGCACAACAACATTCACAGAGCTGTTCTCTCCTAAAGCTAAAAATTAGAGACATATTGTATTTTTACAAATTGGGGGACAAGAGGTTGGAGAGCACCATGGAAAGAAGAGATCTGGGGGTTTGGGTTGGTGGCAAGTTGAATATGAGTCAACAGTGTGCCCTGGCAGCCAAAAGGGCCAACCGTGTCCTGGGGTGCATCAAGCACAGCATAGCTAGCTGGTCGAGGGAGGTGATTGTCCCACTCTACACTGCACTGGTGTGGCCCCACCTCAAGTACTGTGTGCAGTTTTGGGTGCCTCAATATAAGGACATCAAACTATTAGAGTGTGTCCAGAGGAGGGCGACCAAGATGGTGAAAGGCCTCGAGGGCAAGACTTACAAGGAGCAGCTGAGGTCACTTGGCTTGTTCACCTTGGGGAAGAGAAGGCTGAGCAGTGACCTCATCACAGTCTACAACTTCCTCAACGGGGGCACAGCAGAGGGGAAGGTGCTGATCTCCTCTCTCTGGTGATAGGTGATCACTGGTGACCAGTGATAGAACATGAGGAAATGGAATGAAGCTGCATCAGGGGAAGTTCAGACTGGACATTGGGAAAAGGTTCTTCACTGAGAGGGTGGTCAGTCACTGGAACAGGCTCCCCAGGGAAGTGGTCACAGCACCAAGCCTGTCAGAGGTCAAGTTCTTAGTCATACGGTTTAGTTTCAGGTAGTCCTGCAAGGAGCAGGAAGTTGGACTTGATGATCCTTATGCGTCCCTTCCAACTCGAGACATTCTACGATTCTATACAAAATATTGTGTGTGGTTTTGCAACTTAAAACCAGCTATGCAATAGGAGAAAGAAATGGAACAGATACACACAATATATATGTACAGACAAAATTAAGAGGTGAAAAAACATACAAACTTTTTATTTAGACACAAATGTCATTTAACATCTAAGAAAGGAGTAACTGTTTAATTAAGGCATACATCTGCTTCCCATAATTTCCATCTTCTGTTGTTGCTGTCAAAACAGCCTTTATATAAACAAGTAACTTGAGCAGAGAGAAGATAACCAGGAAAGGTTGTGCTTTTTTAACCAAATAACTTTTTTACCTTTAAATTGTGCTATTCCAAGTTCTTTCTGGCATATAAGAGGGTGGTGTTTTGGTTTGTGCTATAACCCCTTAAAGACTGAGGCCAGATAGCAGTGTACATTATCCAACTGATCACAACACATGTACAGGGCTTAAGAAATAGTTACAAGAAGCAGGAGACAGCTTTCAGCAGTAGACCTTGAAGCAGGGAGATGCCTCAGGTCGAAAAACCACAGCAAGTAGGGAACCACATTGTTCAGGTACTTCATTACATTTTGCCGAAGAAAAATAATAGCCAAAAAAGAAAAAAAATCACCTTTGTTGCAAAAGCAATACAGCTAACGCACAAGTCTATCCCAGGCTGGGGAAAACAAGTCAGCTGCCTTGCACAGCATTCATTGCTGGAAGTGAGGAGAGGTTGAAGGACACAGACTAAACCCTCTCGAACCACTTCAGAGTGGAACACTTCTGTACCGACTGCTGCTCAGGGAGGCTTTCTGCATATGCTGTATATGCAACTCTGCACAGCTACAACACATACAAGTGATGCTAAGATACACTGTATACACATGCAGTCAACCTGTAAGTTACAGAATACAATTTTTTCCATGTTTTCAATTGCACTTTGAAGAAAAGCAGTGTTTCATGACCTTTCAGTAAAAAAATTTATCTGCCATTATACACTGGCATTCAGGTATTGCACAAAGCCTATTTAAATCCTGTATTTTCTCCAAGTATATAGAAAACTGCAAGGAATCCTTCATTTAATGGACTTAAGAGCATTTTGATAAAGCATCTCTCCAATATACATCAACACAGTTTTATCACAGTGGAGTGGTCCCAACTTTTACACCTCTAATTACACTGTGTGCCAGCTCTCGGATAAATAAAGGTTGTATTTATTCATCAACAGGATGCGTGTGCAGGCAGGTCAGACAGATAATGACCGGGGAAGGTAACTTCATGGAGCTTGGTTCCTTTCCGTAATTAACATGGTGACCAGCTCACTCCAATTCTATAACTTGGGAGTTGCTCACTGCTCATTAAGTCACAGAATCCTGACGAACTTTTTACATGTCTGTCAGGAGGCAGCCTATGACCTGCAAGAGCTTACAGCGGAAAAGAAAAGGCAGGGAAAAACTGGAAGACAAGAAGTGAACATGAATTATTTTACACACTGGGTACAGAAGCATAAGACGACAAAATAAGAATCAAATAGGAAAGCTGTGGACAACTAGGCACTCTGGATCCCCAGACCAGTCTTTATGTGTCTTTATTAAAAAGAGAATGAATGCTCATCTGTGCCCAGAGGTCTCTTTGAGCTATTAACGCTAAGGTGTCAAAAGACAGGAAATGCAGACACTGGGGCCAGAGATGGGACTCATGACTGGAGATGACCTGCATGAAGGCACAGCAGTAGGAATGTGCTTTGCATTCAGACAATTTGTTTCAGCTCTGTTATTGTCAACCTCCCTGGCTCTCCAACCACAAAGTGTAAGTACTGCCATGCTCTGGCAACTCCTTACCAACTTTTGTGGGTCACAGAAGTTCTGAGTTAGCCAGTCCTTTAAAGCTGCTCCAGACTTCAGAAAACAGCTGTTTGTCATAGTGAACAGAAGGCCAAGGGAGTCACTGTTATAAACTTCTTGGGAATTTGAGTCAGGTCTTTCCTGATTAATGCTGGCCAGAGGTATGACTCAGACATTCCTTCCTCCCAGATTTTGCATTATCCTTCAGTTTGCAAGGAGGGATGCCCTATTACGTTTCTCCACGGAATCCCAACAGTAGTAGTAACCACATAAAAGATCCTGGATCCTTGTTAAAAGTGTCCATATCTGTGGAATAAAATACCTCAATATTGCCCATTCTCTTAAACATCCCCCTGATGTTGGTTTGACTACAGTGTTTGTTTACAAAAAAACCAAAGCAAACCACAAAAAGCACACAATAGAATAGAACGGAATATTTCAGTTTGAAGGGATCTACAACAACCACCTAGTTCAACTGCCTGACCACTTCAGGGCTGACCAAAAGTTTAAGCAGATTATTAAGGGCATTGTCCAAATACCTCTTAAACACTGACAGGCTTGGGGCATCGACCACCTCTCTAGGAAGCCTGTTGCAGTGTTTGACCACCCTCTTGGTAAAGAAATGCTTCCTAATGTCCACTCTAAACCTCCCCTGGCACAGCTCTGAACCTTTCCCACGCATCCTGTCGCTGGATCCCAGAGAGAAGAGCTCAGCACCTCCCTCTCCACTTCCCCTCCTCAGAAAGCTGTCGAGAGCAATGAGGTCGACCCTCAGCCTCCTCTTCTCCAAACTAGACAAACCCAGAGTTCTCAGCTCCTCCTCACAGGACATGCTTTCCAGCCCTTTCACCAGCTTCCTTGCCCTCCTCTGGATGCTTTTGAGGACCTTCACATCCTTCTTAAATTGTGGGGCCCAGAGCTGTACACGGTACTTAAAGTGAGGCCGTACAATGCTGAATACAGCAGGATAAACACCTCTTTTGACCGGCTGGTTACACTGTGTTTGATGCACCCCAGGATGCGGTTTGCCCTCTTGGCTGCCAGGGCACACTGCTGACTCATATTGAGCCTCCTGCCAACCAGCACCCCCAGATCCCTTTCTGCAGGGCTGCTCTCCAGCCACGCCTCTCCCAATTTATACTTGTGCCCGGTGTTACTCCATCCCAGGTGCAGAATCTGGCATTTGGACTTGTTAAATTTCATCCCATTAATCATAGCCCAATGAAGAAAAAGCACAGAATAAAAATCACAAAACCCGAAAGTAACAGGAATGAAAAGTTAGGCCTATTTAAGCCAAAAAAATCCAAAAAGTCTCTCTTACTCTCTCTGTATCAGCTGACAAGCTACACTTGTTTACTTAACCAGTGAGAGCAGCAACTTGATCCTTTCACTCAGTCTGTGTACTCAAACTGCACTTCAAAAGAAGCAAAAGCTGGCATCAATATCTAACTTACTTACACAGCCTCTTTCCTGCAGACTCTCAGAGCACCATTCTGATTTAAATCAGTTGCTAAGATCCTTAAATTAGTCAGAAGTTATTTTCTCTATTTGGAAAAGCTAACATACTTCTGGCAGGTCATGGTGCCACTTCCTTCCTAGACTGCAAGGAAGAAAATTCTACCCCACTGATGGCTGATTACCTGTCTGCTGAAGCAACATGCAAATTTTATTGTGAAGACTTACTACACACTGAGCCTATACTTCAATGCAAGCTGTAAATTCACAATCATGCTTGAGGAAAACAAACAAATGGAATGAATGCACACCACTCATTAACAGCTCCTGCTGGGAGGCTAGGCATGGTGACATGCACTTACTTTGGGGAAATTACTGATGCTGAGGAAGCCAAACCTCAATCCTGTTGAGGCCATGACAGCCTCACATGACTCCTCTGCCCAGAAGGAGAGTCTCAGAACTAATCAGCTAGTGCTTTACTAGATAGTAGTAGAAAGACTCTTCCATTTACTTTACATAAATGAAAAGACTAGTATCTGGGATGTCTTTCAGTCTCCTTAAACAAGAATGTGCCATCTTTTCACTATTATATATACAAATATATAACATCCTCTGGTTTCTCTCAGATTGTACATATTATTTAATTTATATTATATTGATAATATGCTATATTATTAATATATAATATTGGCAGAACAGCTGGGCCCCAAGGGTGATAATCAGCGGAACAAAGTCTAGTTAGAGGCCAGTAACTAGCAGTGTACCCCAGGGGTCAATACAGGATTCAGCCCTGTTCAACATCTTCGTTAATGATCTGGATGATGGGGCAGAGTGTACCCTCAGCAAGTGTGCAGATGACACAAAACTGGGAGGAGCGGCTGATAGACCAGATGATGGGGCTGCTGTCCAGAAGGACCTTGAAAGGCTGGAGAAATGGGCTGACAGAAACCTCATGAAGTTCAACAAGGAGAAGTGCAAGGTCCTGCACCTGGGGAGGAACAACCCCATGCACCACTATATGCTGGGAGCCCCTCAGCTGGAAAGCAGCTTGCCAGAAAAGGACCAGGGGGTCCTGGTGGACACCACCAACAACCCCATGCACCACTATATGCTGGGAGCCCCTCAGCTGGAAAGCAGCTTGCCAGAAAAGGACCAGGGGGTCCTGGTGGACACCACCTTGACCATGAGCCAGCAATGTGCCCTTGCAGCAAAGAAGGCAAATGGGATCCTGTACTACATTAGCCAAAGTACTGCCAGCAGGTTGAAGGAGGTGATCCTTTCCCTCTCTTCAGCACTGGTGAGGCCACACTGGAGTCCTGTGTCCAGTTCGGAGCTCCTCAGTACAAGAGAGACATGGATGTACTGGAGAGAGAGTCCCACAAGCGTCATGAAGATGAACGGATTGGAGCATCTCTCCTATGAGAAGAGGCTGAGATTGCTGGGACTGTTCAGCCTGGAGAAGAGCAGGCTCAGGGGGATCTTATCCTTGTGTATAAATACTTGAAGGGAGGATACAAAGAAGACGCAGCCAGGCTCTTTTCAGTGGTGCCCAGTGACAGGACCAGAGGCAATGGAAACAGAGGAGGCTCTCCCAGTTTTGTGTCATCTGCACACTTGCTGAGGGTACACTCTGCCCCATCATCCAGATCATTAACGAAGATGTTGAACAGGGCTGAATCCTGTATTGACCCCTGGGGTACACTGCTAGTTACTGGCCTCTAACTAGACTTTGTTCTGCTGATTATCACCCTTGGGGCCCAGCTGTTCAGGAAACACTTTTTCACTGTGAGGGTGACTAAGCACTGGCACAGCTTGCCCAGAGAGGTTGTGGAGTTTCCCACCTTGGAGATATTCAAAAGCTGTCTGGACACGGTCCTGGGTAACCAGCTCTAGGTGGCCTTGCTTGAGCAGGGGGTTGGACCAGATGACGTGGAGAGGTCCCTTCCAACCTCAACCATTCTGTGATATGATATATATGTGATATAATATATTATCAAAATTATGCAATTTCAGTATTTTCAATTAGAGTACTTTTTCTTTATGGACCCCTTTTGCACATCCCCAGAGAACATGTGGCAATTGTGGGAGAGGGGAATAATCTTCATTCCTAGTTTTGATCAGCATCCAGTTGCAAACACCAAAGCATGTAAGTTCAAAAGAAGGATGGTCTATATTTAGCTTTCTATTACCTCTGGTGTCTTAGAATATAGCTCAAAGTAAAGTCAGTCCACAGAGATCCATCTATGCAGGAACTCACCGCCAGTGTTACTACTTCCCAGCAGTAGCATTAATGATGTTTTTCTTGACATCACACAAAACAGGTCAGCTTGGTAATGCCACCAGGAAGTATTTACTTGCAGTGCAACCCACAGGCAGAACGAATGCAGCCTAATTTAGTGCTGAAGAAAAAACAACAAAGCAAAACTCTGCCTCCCCCTCTCCTACACATCTAGAGGGTTCCAAATGGGTTTTACCTTGCTGATGTGCTCTGGTGCTTGATCTGGCTGACTGCTGAACTCACCACCTATCTGAAGGTCACTGACACAGGAAATCGAATCTCTCAGCTCGGTGAGCTTCTGGCTGCCCAGTACAAGGACTGTCTGATAGGGTTTGTGATCTTTATGCTATGAAGAAAAGAGCATACAAGCTTCAAATAAAAATCACTTGTCAGCATCAGTACTGCTCTTCAGTTGACAGCTTGACGTCGTTAAAGCAGTGTACCATCACCTCTCTGTACAAGATTTCAAACAGCATCTTGCCTCAGCCTCTCCTAAGGCTGCCATTTATTAGTTTTATTCAGAAACTCAAAAGTCACATTCCCCACAGGAAAGTGCAGGAAAGATAGAAAGTCTGAGCACACTTATCCCAAATCCAGAAAGAGTACTGTCATTTTCATGTATTTAGTTTCAGATTTTGAGCTTTCTGTGAAATCAATTAACTGCTGAGTAATTACTGTAAAAATTTCCTTCTGTAAACCACTAACAGAATGAAAGCCAGATTCTGAAAAAGCCTTAAGAAGTTACTACAGTTGAAGGGTTTACCACGCTCCCTCAGTGGACTCACTGATTTTAACTGCTTGGGAAAGCAAGATATTACCTGAGTAGGGAAGAGACATCAGAATACAACCTAGAGAATTTAGTACCAACCTTCTGAAATATGACAGGATAGAAGACGTTCAGAGTTAAAAGTAGTTCTCCCTCCTCAACTAGATCTGTTGGATTGTCTGGCCTCTTTCCAATTGCATGTGACTCCTGGAAAAATAAAGATACACATATATATTATATTGGCAACCACTTATATATCATAGCCCCTGGATAAAAGTGTGAGAAACGCTGTTCCAACCGTAACTCATTTTTGACTGTGTAGCCTTCTGAATTGATAATGGCCTACTTTCTCCAAGATGGAAAGGTGAGAAACTGCTGTAATTACCGATTTCAAGCATTTTCCTACATTCCTCAGCTATGGAGAAGCTGAGGTGCTTTCAGCAATTACAAGACAGCTGGCTATTCCTTGGCTACTGAGAAGCCCTGCATAAAGGAATTAAAGCCTACTGCCACTCTGTCCTCATGGAACCCAGCTGTTACCAACTTCCATCACTTAATGCTTTGAAATGCTCTTTGAATACTTTCACATGTAAAGGAGGATTGCAACCCTTAACTTGAGAAAGACCGACCTAGAAACTAGCCATAGGATGAAGTATATGAAAATAAAAATTAGTGCAACACTGCCTCTTATTAGGAAAGCTTGACATAGCTGGAGGTCTCAATTTCTCCAAAATCCAAACCCAAAATCCAGCACTGCCCTTGCCACACTGCTATGTTTTAGAAAAGAAATGAAAGCATTTGCACATTTCCATGCTACTTTGTGTTTAAGACATAGCCCAGCTGGGAGGATGAGGGAGGGCACTTTTCTGTGACAGTTAGTTTCCTCCTTTTTCAATAAATCAGGAGAGATACTGACTGCACAAACACCTTCCACCAGCATGAAGTGTTCTTCAGATTTAGTAACAGGAGCATGTACTGCTGTGAGACTTCAGTTCAGAGATACTTGTGCTCTATCCCTTCCATCTCCCTTCTTCATGCGACACATTCCAAACTCGCATTTCTTATTGCTCTCATCCTGTTCTAGGACACCGTGGTCACAACCAGCTCTGACACACAAACCAGTTACCACAGCTTGCTTAAAGGATGCAGTAACTGACCACATGCTCGTTCTTCAGAAATAAAAATAAGACACCACTCATTGAAACCCTTTATGAAGATTTCTGTGGCAAGTATTTTCTCAGATATGCCCTAGGCTAAGAGCCCAATGCAGTTGTTGCATCTCAGCTGATACATGATTTTTACATTATGCACCTGGGCCTCTGGACAGTTGAAACAAGATCACTCATGACAGACCAGGAAACCTCAAGGGGAAAAAATGTTTAATAGTGACAAGTGAGGCTCCTTCCTCACTACACCTTCATCCCTAATTTTTATAGTAGTTCATGGCTTGCTTATTCAAGCCATGGACTCTGGCACTGCAAAATTTAAGAACTTAAGTTTTCCTGTTTAGGACTTTCATGGTTGTGAAAAAATCTTAAAAAAAGAGGTACTAAGAATAGCTAAAGGAATTCCAAGATGGCTTTTGAGGGGCTGATCACTACACTCCTGTTTCCTGACAGCTCAGAATGGCTGAGAAATTTGGGTTACAAAGCTCAGAATTAGGAACTTACTGCCACCATGTTCCTACTGTCTTCCTCTTTCAGCCCTACAGAAACTAGCTCACAATCATTTACACATTAAAGCTTAGATTCCAACACAGGACTCCAGGAGCAAAAACATTATGCATCTTGTCTAGCTCTACGATAAGTTCACATGATGCTCAGTACACTTGATCCCCTGCTTTAGTAGCAATCGAATAAAAGCAGTCATACAGTGGTAACGAGCTGGAGTTCCTCCTTACTACAGTCCCTACTAACAGACTGTAAGAGCAAAGTTCCTGCCCTATCTTTCTATAAAATGTCTTTAATCTTAATCATTACCTGCAAACTCACATTTGCAAATACTTACAGTATACAGAGATCCATAGCGATGGAAAAAAAAAAAGCAGCCAGAAGCTGGATTTTGGCTGTGCTGAACTGTCTTGAGATCCTACAAGATGACAGGGAACTTACCATCTCATAAGCAAGAGTTTCTTGTCTGCAAGCCCGATCCACAATAATTGTTTCTTCTCTCTTCTCTAAAGCCTTCTTTCTAATTCTGAGGGGCAGGAACACAGGATAAAATTTCATTCAACAACTTCCATGCAGAATCTCTAGATATATTTTTAAACGACACAAGCTACTACAGTGCAGCTTTCCAAGAGCAGGATTTGTGGCTTAGTATGACAGACTAACTTACAATACTCTTGTCTCCTGACTCCCATAAAACCTGGTAGTACACAGGCCAGCTTGTGGATTTCAGCTTGTGTTTTTCTTTCCCCTTACGTGCAAATTATAGGTTGTTTGTGGGCAGTTTTACACTTACGAGAAAAAACAACAAAATGTCTGAAGAGGCTCTCCTAGAAAGAACACTTTGTTACCTTTGAGGAAGCTGTTTCAACTATCCCTCCCACTTTAGAGAAATTCAATTCATGTTCAAGCAAAAAAAAAGAAAAAAACATAAATATTCTCAACCCCATGACATAGATACTTTTCTAAAAAAACTTCAGTACCATTTGTAGAAGAAAGAGTATCATACACAGAGTATCTACTAAAATACATGTATTTAACCACTGCATGAACACCAAATCCTTTTTAAATTCCGGGACAAGTCTATTTAGCCTCCAGAGCATCCTGAAGGTTTTCAGTGACAATCAAACTTAACACTGATCACAACCTTAACACATTTCTTTACATTAGTACTATGCAAACTGAAATTCAAGTACAGCAAAGGCCTGAACTGGCCAAGTATGAGTTCAAAGTTCACTAACTGATAGAAACTTAACATATATTGCTCAACCTCTGAAATGCACCAGTAGTATCAAGGAATTCTATAAAGAGTGGGTTCAGATAAAGAGGTATCTGGCTACAACTTCAGTACTTACACTTTGGCTGTTACAATGTGACTCTGGGTAACTAGAGGTAAGAGCTTCAGATTTATTTCACAAGGCTTTGGGGAAACCTCCCGCACATGATTATGAGAAGCCCCCTGCACGCTCCAAATTTATGCGCTAGTTCAGAAGTACCTAAGTCCAGAAATCCTAAGTTCTTCCAGTAAGAAAGATGGCATATTCTGTATATCTTAATAAAAAATTCCTAACATTCAAGCAGAAGGCTCATACCAATTATCCTACCATAAGCTGGTGTTTCTGCCCTTAGAGTATTTCTGGACACTGCTTCAGAAAGTACACCATTGCCTGGAAAGGGAACAAGCAGGCAGCCATGCTTTTGTGCTTGTTTTCCACCCCACCCCATATCAGGGTACTGGGAGTGTACCGTAACGACATACCGAAGAGTTAGCAGACTGCTGTCTTCAGGAATAACATCTGGGTCCTTTTCTTTATCAGAAGACATTAACATATCAATGCTAGGACAATAAAGAAAATAACTATTATACATTTTTTCAGACTTACTTTATAATGAAAATCAGTTAAGCTATTCCTAAAAGGAACAAAGACAGCAAAATGTGAATAAACAAGACATAGCTTGCACAGCCTAAATCAGGGCAAAAGGGCAGTATGGTTGTTAAGATAAAGAACCAAAACACAAAGAGTTCTGGAGTTTATCTCTGGCTTTCAGAGAGATTGGGTAAATTTTGTCTTTATTTTGCATTCTGCCTAATGGAGCATAGGTGCCTAGAGAGGTTTAACAAGCCCTGTTCAAAATACGTGTCCAATACTTTTTATAAACTAAAAATGCCACTTGACCTTTTCAAATCTCATCCACCTACTCTGATTTTCTGATGATATATGGCAAAATAGATTCAACCAAAAGGAATCATCAACCTCAACCTGTATGGTAAAGCTAACACCCCCCTCAGGTACAAACATGGGCAAGCCACCACATTTACAGAGCTGTCATTGCTATATTAAGGCATTAATTTATGCCGCATTTTTTCCAGTGGGAATAAGACAACACTTCTGCCAGAAATGACAGGTCCAGTCTTTCCTGTATCCTTCTTTCCATCCTAAGACACTTTTCACCCTCACTTTCCTTGTGTTTGCACAGAATCCAAAGTATAGCTAACCGTAGCTTTTTGCTGTAGTGCAAATCACTGCAGGATGTGGGAAGGAAAAGTGGAACCGGTTTTGGCTGCAGCAACGATTTAAACTGATCATACAAACGTTAGGTTTTCCTAACAGAAATGAGGATGGAATTTCTCATAAACATGCCACAAAAAATGAATCCTGTAGGATACCATATGTGCTCCCCTGCCACAGTTTTATAACATAAGGTTCCCCAATGCTATTCCACAAACAGACCAAACAATCCACCTGAAAGCTTCAGATTAGACACTCTAATAGTATCAATTACCTTTTTAGAAACATATAGAATAATGCTGACTCAAGACAGTAGTAATTTTGTATTAATCACAAAAGAATTTTTATCCAACTTAAAAGTAGTCTGAGAAAATATTATTTAAAACAGAGAAGTATCACCCACTTTCAATCAGACTTGATCACTTTTGTCTACTGTTTGCAGACTATATAAAGGCAGGGCTTCCTAAGCTCATGTGCAGTTTGAATTCCAGCAAACTCTTATGCAAACCCATCTCTTTATGGGACAAACAAACCATTGGTGAAGTCCAGGAAAAATTTTTGGAGTGTACCATTTATTTTTGATATAATTTATGGTTTGATTATATTCTTTTTCATTATAACCTTATAATGTTCCCCATAATCTTATAATGTTCCCTATGTCAACAATACTAAGCTAGGTAATACTATCACTGCAGCAACGAATAAGCCTTCAGAGTGGAACTGCATAGGAATATACAGTAATTGAGAAATAGAACTCTGGAATCTACTGGTATTAGCTGACAACAAGCAAAAGTCAGATACAAAATTTTGGCTGTGGGTAGATGGCCTAGTTCTGATGACCCAATGAAGTCACTCTGTATTGAAAATAATTTGAAATTACTATTGTTTAGTTAGTTTCTTACCATCCAGCAGAGTTTTAACCTTCCTGTCTTACAGATTTCATCCCAAACAGAAAATCATTCTTTTTGAGAAAAGGGGATTCCTCCAGAAGCACCATTTTAAAAGAAAGTATGCAGCAATTAGTTACAGCCTCTTGGAAACAGAATCAACCTTATCCTTAGATTCCCACTTGAGGAAGTGGAGGCAGAGACAACTGAGTGAGTCCTGTATCAAGTGCAGACTGAACCACTGCTGAGGAATAGTAATTTAACATAAAGGAGGAGAACAGCACTTTGGAGAATACAGAGCAAGCATTAGCCTTTTAGATGGGGCTGTTCTCCATTCAGCATGGATTAGTGTTATGAATAGCCCACCTAATGAAGTAATATATAGCCCCTGACAGGTAAAGCAACTCACAACTGACCCTTCCATGGAATCAACATCTCACCAGCATGACCAGGCTATTTATCTATGTCTTCCTGCACATGGATCGGTGACCCCATTCACCAAAAAGCCCCAAGTCACTTGAAGACCTGCCATTTTGAAGAAATAACTGTGTATTTTGGTCTTCACACACCACATAGGTTATCTGAAGGATCTGAAAACATGTATTACCTACCATTGTGAAGTTTCACCTGCATCAAAGGTGACAGTTTCCTGTTTCCCTTCTATGCATACATATGATGTCAGAACTCACCAACAGTACTTGTACTTTCCTTCCCTCCCACGGCTCTAGGCCAGGGATCTCTGGCTGCAGTATCCACACCATGCCCACTAATCGCCTGCTGCACGAAAAAACCCTAACATTCCCCAGAAAGCAGCTACAAGCAGACACAGTGTAAAATAGTTGGCACGTAAGCTGCTTCCTCTTTTTCCTTCTAAGGACAGAAAGGTAGCTAGTACAAAGAGAAACTGCCACTGAATCCCTGACAAGATCCGTGGACCCTCGTGAGCCCAGATACTGCCATTTCTCACTCCTGGAAAGTCAGAAACCCTCAATTTCTAAATGAATGTTACACGCATAGCACCTTTTTCAGTATTTTGAATCAGTCTTATAATTCATTACCTATGTCATTGTATCACATGCACTGAAGCCTTAAAAGGCTTTGCCGTATGGCCTTTTTCACAGGCCACGCTGGAGCTCCTCCCAGGTAACTCCACTGCAGCAGTGGAACACATCACTAATATTTGGTCCATGGTCCTGAGAAAACTAGGCTTTACAAATGGAAAGTATATGCTAATCCCTCCAGAAATTAAGGCTAAGTAGTCAGTGTCATACACCTAACAGACGAAAGTGCAGGCAATACAAAGTTTGCACCAGGCACACCTAACTCCTGACAGCCACAAGCATGGGATTCCACTGTGTCCCCAAACAGAATATTCCCTGCATGCAAGACAAATGCAGTCAGTTATGGTAGAAGGGAAAACACTGGCCATACTGTTTAACGGACACTGAAGTGAACTGTAGGAGAGTGATGAGGAACTATAGTTGAAGATCTCACTTGAAAAAAGCATGCAAAGTGTTATATGAAATTTATGTCCCCGAGAAAGATATTTTAAGGCGTCTAGAAATAAAAAGACCAAAGGCAAGTCTGTGGAAACTTGGACATGGAAAAAACTATCAGTGAAGCCTTTAATCACCGTGACTTTACTTTTCTCAGAATACTCTGGCAGCACAACGAGCTTTCTCAGTTTCTGAAATTACAAGATGGTTTAGTATTTTGCCCGATATTTTCGTAGTAAGCAGATACAGTGTTTATATTACTCTTTATATTGCATGTATTTTAAGGGCAGTACTTTCATCACCTTTGCGACACTAATACTACAAGACGCTAAATGCTAATACGTTAAGACGCTAATGCTAGCTTAATGCAGCTTTGTAACACATCTCTAGAGATGTTTACAACTACCCCTTCTAACAAAACAAGAAGGTGAATTAGGGCTGAAGTGGAAAAAGGTACCTGTAAGCCTCACCTCCCTTGACCTACCTAAAATCTACACTGATTTGAGTCTTAGCATGTCCTACACGTACACAAGAAATCACTCAGAAGGCAAAACAGAATAACATAACTTAGCACCTCCAACATTCAAGCACTTTAATCGCTCAAACACCAATAATGAATCCCAAGGTAAACCTCTTTGCTCACAGACCGCTAAGGCATTTGAACAAAACTTAAAACTTTACCTTCCTGATACCTTGGTTATGTAAGAGAACTACTTATGGAATCTCCTAGCCAAGGACACCATTTTATACCTGTTTAAAATCTGATGAAAACCCAAGCGATCTCTATAACAACTGTCTGCATACAGCTCGAGCAGTACACAAAGCATTCTTATTGAGTCAAATTCAAGTGAGTGAAGACGGAATTTTTTTTTCTGCATTCTGTTTGCAGGAATGTATTCCAGGAAGAGAATATAAGAAAAAGGAGAAAAAAAAAAAAAATCAACCACAACACACTGAGATGCACAAAGAGTTAAACAGCATTTAAACATTATACCATTTCTCCTCACCAGAAGACTCTAAATCGTCAAGAATACTTAAACGTACACTATGTCACTATGGTCTAAAAAAAGATTTAACTATGGATATTGAAAAACTTCATCCTGAGTCTATGATTCTCTTAACCTATTACTATTTTTAAAATAGATATAGGAGGACTATCCACATCTTCCCATCTCTCTTCTACCCAAAGAAAACCTGCTTAACTTGCCAGAAGTTCCCTTACAAGTAGTTCACAGTCAGAAAAATCTGTGTTTATATCCAGGATGTGTTCACTTCAGCACCTAGAAAACCGTATTTATGCCAATAATAAATGTGACCCCAAGACACCATAGAACAGATCTTGGTATAGTCCAGTGTTTTCATCTCTTCTCAAGGGAGAAATATAAACAGCTCAGAGCAGGTGAGTGAAAGTGATCAGAGGTAGCAACTTGAGGTTGGCCAATGTTAAGGAGAGACTCAAGAGGCTAGGACTATTTAATTTAAAAGCAAAAGCACATGGAGATTAGGGATTGGGATTTCCAGCCTGCACAGGGGAAAGGTCACATCAAGATGTGCAGGTTTATCTTCATTCTCCTGCAAAGCCAACAAGCAGCTGCCTGATGATCTGTTCTCTCCCCCTCATAGACTGCCTGACCTTTTTTCTTCCCCAAACCTTTTCACCACACAGCACCACTTTCCACAGTACACTCAGCAGCAAATAGACAGCACTGCTCTGTAACACCAGCAAACACAGACAGCAGATGAAATGTAGTGGTCATAGATAGAAGAAAGCAGAACAGAAGAAAAGGCAGAATGAATGAAGGGAAAAATAAACAAAGCATAGAAAATCTGCTTGGAATTCAAGTGAAAATAGCAATAGACAGGCTCAAGCAACAGGGTCACTGCAGAGAACAAGCCACAGCATAGGAGCAATCACAGACTACATCTGCACTGGGAAAGCT